GACTTCAACTCCCAGAATTCCCATGGCTGGCTGGGGAATTCTGGGAGTTGAAGTCCACCCACCTTCAAGTGGCCACGGTTGGGAAACCCTGGCGTAGAGTTTCCACACAGCCGTGGGAAAAGGCTGTTAAAAAAATTAACTTAGACTGATGTACCCAGTGATGGTCTTCTTTTGAGCAGAGATTAGCCTTTTGCGTGGCCAGGGTTGCACGTGGCCACCGAGTGGTGGCATCTCTTCAGGTCTCCAAAGGAGGCCGTCCTATTCCCCCACCTCAGCTCTTTTTTCTCAGGGCTGAACATTCCCACTTCCTTCAGTCACAGGACCCAGTTTTGGTCCCTTCCTCCTCTTCGCTGCCCTCGACCGAACTGTCCCAATTCCTCCTTGGTCCATTTCTGCGGTGCCCAGGATGGACCAAGTCCTCAACAGGGGATGCGACAGGAGCAGAATCGTTTAAGGCTGCCACTGCCCGGGTTTCAAAAACCGTTCTCTGGATGTGGCCCAAAATCACATTTCCTCTTTTTTCTATTTTGGTGCCCAGTGACACTGCAGGTTCAGCTGGCAATCGACTACTATCCCAAAATCATTTTCACAAGTATCGTTACCAAATCAGGTATTGGCCATCCGATACCTGCACATCCGCGCTCTTTTTCTTAAGGGAAACACTTCGCGGTAAAAGGTCATTCTGTAACTTTCGGAGCATTTCTCCAACGTATCCAGGTTGGAAGCCTGCTTTTCGGAAAGGAGCTTTCCCATGCAGTGTTGTGCCCCATGCAGGGATAACCACAAGGGGGGGGTCTTTTATCACACGGATGTGGTTGCCATCACCCTCCCTGCGGTTCCCCCGGCCCCTTGCAAATTAGATAAGCATTCTCTCCTCTTCATTCAAGTCCTTAATTCTTTGTTAGAACCGTGTAGTGCTTTGGGTTTGATACCAAAACAATGCTTTGGGGTGTTGGGGGGTGGGGGAGGGAGGTGGCGGCTGCCTGCAGCTCTTTAAAGCAGCCACACCTTTTCCCGGGATTGTCATGGGATCCTGAGAAAAAGAAGGGGCTGCTTTAAAGAGTCGCAAGTGTTTGTGTTCATCGCCCCACGTATTCCAAAGTGCCTTTTTGGAACTGAATCCGAAGAACTGGCCACCCCTAAACAATTATGGAAGGGTTGAGCGCCCAGGATGGAACCTGCTGGCAATCCATTCGGTGCCTTGCTCTGGAGAGATGCAGGTTCCCTGGTGAGGGACTGCTGTGCACTTTCTCGAGCCCACTTAATATCCACTGAATTTCTCATGCCATCCAGCCCAGATGAAACACTGCAGTCTGATGTTGCTTACATTCCCTAAATCTGTTGTACAGCAGTTTTGTCTCTGGTAAACAGGTTTTGCGGGTGTCGGTGAACCTGAAGAAGCAACAACATCAGAAAAACAGAGCAAGGATAGGCATTTATTTCCCATATGATAAAATAGCCTCCTGGCTGTCTTCTGGTGTTTCCAGGGATGGGGGCCAGAAAAGGAGAGTTGAGTTGCACGATGGCTGTGGGTGCAGCTCTTCTTCTGCAGATGTTTCTCACCCACCCTCCACAGCACAGCCCGGCCAGTCCCGTTTGGGGCAGGTAGGGCAGGAACTCCACCATTGGCGAGCCCCCCTCACTTCCCCAAGATGGTGGCGCTCGGGCAGGTAACTGAACATCTGCAAATGAAAAGCCACACCCAGGGAGCTCTTATGGGGCCACGCTGACAATGCCGAGCTACGGCTGTTCTTGAGAATTACCAGAAAGAAACCCCTGATATTCTTCTTGTGGTCTCTACAAGTGGCAGGCAGGAACAGTGGTGCCTGAAGAAGAGGAAGGGGGGACAGATCGGCAAAAGCAGTATTGTGGCACAAGCCTCGCCCCTTTTCCGTGTGTGTTGCGACGCCTCGTGCACGCCCCAAATGGGCGAAGCTTGCCGGAGGGCGCCAGAAGGGTGTGGGTGCTGCTGGGCGGGGGTGTAGAACAGGCCCCGTGGTCCCTGGGAATTGCCAGCCCACAGCCTTTTCTTGTGCAAAGGCGATCCCTTCCTCCTTCTCCTCTCTTGCTCTTGTAGGCTTTGCACGGAGACTGGTGTCAACAGGTCATGTACATCCCCCAGCTCAATTTGGTTGCTTCTTGCACACCGGCTGAGAAGTCTGCCATGGCCCTGACGTCGCTCCCCCTGCATAACGTTGGGAAAATCCAGTAAGAAGGGCCTTTTTTGCTCAACTCAGTCAAGAAGCCGTTGAAGTGGGTTTAAAGCGTTTTATCCCTATTCTCCCAACAAGGGGAACAAGGAGTCCGGGGCTCAGTTGTGATAAAAATCCAGCCAGCCCATGTGGCAGAGTCTGCAAATGCACAAAGGTTTCCGGGGGGTGGGTGTTCACATGGGAGGACTTGATTCTCTCCAAAGCCTCGGAGAAGCTCAGAGCCTCCTAAAGAGAGGCTTGGAAATTCTTTTAAGGTGGGGAGAAGGTAGGAAATTTGCATGTCTGAAAAGAGCTGCTGGGATCTGTCTGTCAGCAGCATCCTGTAGCAAGGGGCTTGGGGATTTCCCAAGCATGGCTGGGACCTCTGCATTTTTAAGCCATGTGCTCCTAAAACAAGCTATCCTGACATGCCTTTTACATTCTCACATGATTAAAGGTTGCTGAAGTTCCTCTCTTCCCCTTCTTATTGTTGCTCTGAGTTTATTGAAGTCTGCTTTTTTTTTTTAAGTCCAAAATTCTGTAGGAGAATTTTCCCAGGTATGTTTGAACTGGAGACCAGGACACGTCGCACTGAAACCCAAACTGGTTTCTTGATAACACTGGAGGCAAAGCCAGACCCAAAGATTTAGGCCAGTATTTCTCCACCTTAGCCACTTTAAGAGGTGTGAACTCCAACTCCCAAAATGCCCCAGCCAGCATGGCTGGCGGGTGAATTCTGGGAGTTGAAATCCACGCATCTTAAAGCGGCCAAGGTTGAAAAACATTGATTTAAGCAGTTTAGACTGTACATGTGATTTGATTGGGTAGTAACACATCTGTGCCTTGTGAGTTCAGTGAGACCATTAAGGTGGACCTATGAGCAATGGGGCAGGACTACAAAGACAATGGGGTGCTGAAAGATCAGCAAGGGAGTTATTTCATGAACAGAGTTTCTTCCTAGGGAATTCCTTTTTTCTGCTCTGCTCACCTCCCAGAATCTTTTTTAAAATAATAATAATAATAATAATAATAATAATAATAATACTAATAATAATAATAATATCATCAAAGATCTATGCCACCCGACTCCCAGGTGGTTTACAAATGGTTTAGAACATTAAAAATGAGAAAACAGCAAAAGACAACAAAAAATGAACAGTTAGATGGCAAAGATGACAAACCCAGATGGGAAGAAAGAAAAAAAGAAACCCCACAATCTAAAGGGGGGCTTCAATCATGTCTTCAGGGCCCCTCGAAACACCAGTGGGGGGTATTCAAATATGGGGGGAACCTCCTTCCAGAGGACAGGCGCTGCTACAGAGAAGGTGCGTTTCCGGGGCACTGATAGGTGGCTTTGCTTAACTCAGTGTTGTCCAAACTTGGCCACTTTAAGATGAGGGGACTTCAACTCCCAGAATTCCCCAGCCAGCATGGCTG